TGCTTACCATACATTTCAGTCGAGGATCCCAATGCCGAATTTCAGCGTATTCGAGATTTTATTGATTGTAAACGCTGTATAGAATTACCCGAGTGCTTAATTCATCTCAAACCTGGACAAACTCAAGATGCTTCCAGGTCAATTGATTTATTACTTCAAAATGGATCGAATAGGACTGGAAGATGGCCTGTCTCGAGTTCCCTTAATATGGATCAGTTTCGAACCTGTGCTCGAAAGAAGCTAAAAATTAATAAGAGGCAATCTCGTCGCGTGTACGATATTTTGCGGTTATTCTTTGCTAATCGTTCTGACGAGTCAGTTATTGAATTCTACAGGAAAGCCCTTGTACTAAGAACTGAAAAAATGTATCAGGTAAAGTTTTTTCATTTTCATACTCTTAAATCCTGTTTTGTAACTGGCTGGGCCCGTATATTTCATTTTTGGAAGAGTTTATACCCCTCTTAGGCTTCGTACAATTTGAATTTTTCCTACATACTTCATAAAGTAATTATTTTTCTACATATTTTAGTCTTATTTTTAACAGCACACAATAGTTTACATCTGCGCATTTGTTAGTAAAAATTAATTTTATCTCGGAGGACTAAATTGTTTTTTCTATAAACCCTGATGTCTCCAAGTATCCAAGACTCATCGATTTCGGAAAGCTCATATTTGTTTTTCCCCACACTTATACTGTTCAAACTACTGAGTTAACATGTTTCCGTTTTCTTGACAAAGGAACCTTGTGCAACACTCATTTCTGCGTCCTCCGCCATGGTTGTTATTGTGATTTCTAGCATCTCATCGTTTATTTGATAAATTCCCAGAGTGTAAGACTCCTGATTATAATCTCTTGGACAATTCTAAGTTATCATAGATTAAGTTAGGCCATGCTTGTTCCATTAAAGTTAACGAGGATGCTTCTATTTTTAATCACCAATTTTTTTACAGCGATTTCGGCCAGATGGGCTACACAGGCTGGGCATTGTGCCTTCTGCTCCAATCGAACAACCATCGCCCTTTCTTCGTGCGTCCGATGAGCAATTCCAGTCGCAAATATTCCAGGAGGTTGATGAGCTCATGCAAGATTATTCTTACATTGTGAAGAAACTTGATAAGGCTGTCTCTTCTGGAAGAATAAAAATTGATTAGGTTTTTCTTTTTTCAACCACTACTTTCTATATGTAAGCCATAACCGTAATTCTTTTTGTTGCATTTACCATCACAACATTATTGTATTTTCCAATTTACGCAAGAGTCCTACCTTTTTTACAGCTTTGTTTATAAAATATTTGGTGTATTTTTGCCGAATTCCATTAAAATAACTACTTTTATACTTACTATATACCTCTGTCAAAATCACAGGCTTATGTATGTTTAAGTCTTCAACCTGAACTTTGGTAGCCGTGAAATAAATTATGATTACCATTGGCACACAGTTTTACGTTATCAAGCTGGAGATAGTCGGCTCTTATTCACTATGGCAGGGTAGATTTTTATATTGATTGTATTGCTTAAATTAAAGCACTTGGGCTCTTGGTTTTTAGTCCTTGTCGATTGCGGTCGGGTCCCTAAAGTGGGGAAATTTTTTCCTTATATATAGCTTTCTTGTAACTGTTGTGAGAATTCCATTCAGAGCCTATGTCTATTTGGTATACCTTCGTTGGCAGAGCCTTTCTATTTTACAGCAAGTTACCTGTTCTTTATGTATTGTAGTGGAATGTATTCACCCTATCTCGTTTAATGTAATGGAGGTCTGGTAGTTGAATTTTCCCACATTTATGAGTGAACCTGACGTGTCTATTGAATTTTACATAGTCTTGCTCCCCCAAAAGCTGTTATCATCCAGGGT